CACGTACACGCACACGCACACGCACGCGAGCGCGCACACGCATACGCACACGCACACATACACACGCACACATAAACATACACACGCACACATACACACGCACACATAAACATACACACGCACACGCACACGCACACGCAAACATACACACACAACCCACCCCACCCTCTCCTAAACACATATATATTGCTATGCGCTATACCGCCCCCTTCCTTGCACCACCCCCTTCTCTGTACTACCCCCCTCTATGTACCGCCCTGGACCTTTCGTCCAGCCTCCCTGCACCGCCCCTCTCCCTGTACCCCCCCTCCCACCCCTTTACCATCCTGTACCCTCCCCATAGCCTACCTGTACCATCCTGAACCCTCCCTGTACACCCCTCCCCCCCTCCCAATACCTCCCTGTATCCTCTTTGTACCATCCCCTCTTCGTACCCCCCCCCCTCCCCCCATTCGCAGACAACGTACCAAAATCAGAATAAAAAATTCACGCACAGACACACGAGGTATTTCCTGAACCTCACGTGCATAGATCAATACCCCGCCACTGTTTTAATCCTCCAAAGGGGAACGGTGTAGGAGACCACGTGAATAAATGATAACAGGGATAATGAGGATGTTGATGGTTCCTATGTCTCGGGGTCACGTGGTAACGATGATGATAACAATAACAACAAAAAGATGACCATAACAACAACAGCAGCAGATGGCAACACAGCGGAAACAGAAATAAAGGAAATAATATTATATAAAACATAAAAATAATAATAATAACGCTAGCATTAATAAATACAGCAATAACAACAATCCATATTGCAATTCTGCTTGTGTACCGTCCGTTCGTTCGTTCGCACGTTATGCTTCCGCGTTACGTCAAAAATCATATTCCATGAGATTGCGGAGCTGAAGTCGCCCCATTTTTTATATAAAAAGAAAGCAGGTTACGCCTAAAAAACATATTATTTGTGACTGAGGATTTGAAGTCGCTCCACGCTGATATAAAAATGAGGTGATAATGGACAACATAACTACAAAAGAATCACACACGCACACACACACAAATAGAGAGATATGGGGAATGGGGAGGGAGGGAGAGAAAGGGATAAGGAAGCAAAGGAGGTGGGGGAGGTTAAGAAGGAAGAAAATAAAAGAGAGAGGAGTAAGATGTAGTGGAAGTAGAGTGAATCATCATCATCATCATCATCATCATCATCATCATCATCATCATCATCATCACCATCATCATCGTCATCGTCATCGCCATCGTCGTCATCGTCATCATCGCCACCACCATCATTGCCACCAACCACCACCATCAAAACAATAAAAATACCAAACACAAATAGCATAAACAACAAGCACACAAACCAAATGACAATAATAAAAACGCCCTCAACAATTACAACACCGCAAACACACAGACAAGACAATCGAGGTGTTACATGATCATGGAGCATCAGCACAGGCGAGGCGGTAATTAAAACAAGAAAAAAAAAACTCTTAGGCACCTGGAAAAGAGGAGACGATCCCTTAACCCGTCTAGGTGAAGGTGAAGGTGCGCTCCAGGCGAAGGTGAAGGCGGTGGGTTTTGGGTACGTGGCAGTGAAATGATTGTGAATGAAAACAATGGGATAGTAAATATGACGGTGAAAGTGAACCCCATGGATGCAAACCTCATGACTGTGAATATAAACCCCATGACGTGGACGAGAACCTCATGACAGCGAAAATTAACCTCCTAGCACTGAATATGAAGCACATGGCAGTGGAGGTAACTCTCATAGCAGTGAAAATCAACCTCATGAACCCCATGAAAGATAACGTAAACCTCATGAAAGTGAACGTAAACCTCATGAAAGTGAATGTAAACCTCATGAAAGTGAACGTAAACCCCATGAAAGTGAACGTAAACCTCATGAAAGAGAACGTAAACCTAATGAAAGAGAACGTAAACCCCATGAAAGAGAACGTAAACCTCATGAAAGAGAACGTAAACCTCATGAAAGAGAACGTAAACCTCATGAAAGTGAACGTAAACCTCATGAAAGTGAACGTAAACCTCATGAAAGTGAACGTAAACCCCATGAAAGAGAACGTAAACCTCATGAAAGAGAACGTAAACCTCATGAAAGTGAACGTAAACCTCATGAAAGAGAACGTAAACCCCATGAAAGAGAACGTAAACCTCATGAAAGTGAAAGTAAACCCATGACAACCCATCTAACCCTTACAACAGGTGAGAATACATAACCCAGCCCAGCATGAATACGAACGCCCCAGCACCAACACCTCATAGTGAGATGCACATGAACCTCAGGCACACACCAATCGTGACAGCAAACGTGTTCATGTCGTTCAATCATCTTTCACGCCACTGAACTTTCATGACGCCCCCTACTCGAAGAATGCGTGAACCGACTCCCGCAAGACAGCGAATCTCAGTCCGAATCTCACTACGCGTTCCTTCCACCAGCGGATGGAGGTCCCTTTTTGAACAGTTC